CTGCTGATGCATGATACTTTTATCCCCAAGTAAAACTGTGAACTTCTTTCCAAGAGAATAAACATTTTTCTCCCTCCTTTGTGACTTAAGAAGAAAACTAATGTGTACAAATGAAGGAGCCATAGCAAAGCAAAATATTAATTAAAAAAGGAATAGTTTGTACTACTAGTTTTGTTGAACTGAATTAACTTCAGTTAATTACTTCAGTTAATTACTGAAGTCCTGTGCAATAGCTAAAAATACTAGTTTGAAAGCTGGGTTAGGTGATTTAGTTTCTCACCTGTTATTACCTGTGCTCTTGAGTTTCTTGATTGTAGTAGTTTTATGTAATAATAAAATTATGTTGTACTTTGTTTTTAAGAAGGTGAACAAAAGGCTTAGTGTGTACTTATTAGCCAAGTGGTAAATTCACTTCTTTTTTCTTTTATTTTAATGACATAATGATGGGGAGTGTAGTCTGGATTGAATGCCCACTAGAGCAGTGATATACAGTGGTTTTTGTTTCTGACTGCTAGAGTGTTCATAGCACTTCTAGGAAAATAAATCACTTTGCAGCATATGCTTTGAGGTAATTATTATTTGTACAGAAGGCAAACTTTAGTCTAGCATATAAGGCTTTATAAAATACCTCAAGTAGCTTTAATGATGTGCAGTTAAACAAATTTAAGCAGTTCTCACGCTGGCATTATCCCCCTGCAATTCTAACTTCTTTTACTACCAGTATCTTTCATTGCTAAACTGTTGGCACATTTTCTAAACTGATCTTTTTTCCCTGACATTTTGTAGTTTCTTCTGTCATATTGCTGCATTTGTAATTTTTCCAGTGTTACTGGGAAATATTTTGTTTCTTGTCTAGGTTAGTACACACACCCAAGGTAGCTAGTTCTAGTAGTTAAACAAACTTGTGAATTGGGTCAAGATGCTTCAATATGGAGAAATATACAAAGCATTTTAGTCCTTCCCCTGCTACAGGCAGTCCTCTGATACACGCTGCTCTTCAGTGTGCATTCTCATAGCTAAGGCAGAGCTTTGTTAAACATGGCAGCATATGAGAAACCATGTAGTGAAATCCCTTGTAAGGTACTGTATGTTTATACTTTTGACTGTCAGATATGAGAATGATCATGGAATGGATGACAATGATGGTTACTTTAGTAAGTTTCATTGCAACACAGACATTTCTAAAGCAATGTAGAAACCTATGTGAATGAAGATGATCAATTTGCAAGAAACACATGGTTGAATGCTTCTGCATTTCATCCATTTCTTGATGGAATTTGAGGTTCTATTTAGAAATGAACCTGTAACAATAGCAACTTCGTGCTTTGAATAGTGTTCAGTAAGGCCCTTTGTGCCTTAATATCAGTATAAAGATAGTTCACAGTATTGTTTTACTTTTCCTTCCAGGATGAGATAACTTACAGGTTAAATATTTAATGATGTAATGGAAAGAACCTGTAAAGAAGTTTGTTAGAAACGAGCACGTTTCTTTACCACATAATACCTGAATGTGATATTACTGCACATAGAAAAGCTTCCATTTATTTTCAGCCTGTCTTGAGCTCACCGCTATGGTGTGGATTTTATTCTTGCATGAGAAAGATACTCACGTTGAATGAGAATAATTGTGTTTCTTGGACTTCGAAGGCAAACCACAAATTTATTTCATGATAAGGCAAAATCCTTGACTGGGGCAAAACATGGCATCTGTGAACTGATACACTGAGCTAATAAGAGTGTTACTTTTTCCTTTATTCAAAGAAAAGGAAACCAGCCTTGCAAAGCAACTTGAAACCATTCATTTCAGTGCTTCTTGTCTCCAGTAATAGTGCTTTGGGTACATGCCCAGCCCATATTAAAATGATTGGATGGAAACAGTTTAACCAAAATGCATTTGCTGATATGCCTGAAGGATAAATTTGTGCTTTAAACAAGTCATACTTCTTTGAACAACTAACCTTATTGGTCATCTGCTTCTCCTGTGCTTATACAAACACTGGATCAGCTTCTAGTCATGACTGGAACATCTGATAACTAAATGATTTATATTTGTTCTCTGAATAGTGTTATAGTTTGAAGTCAGTCTTCCAGAATGACAGAATATGACTTGGGATTGAATTATAGTAGAATTTTTTTCAGACACTGGAAGATTTTGAAAAGGTGTTACGTTATCTAAAAGTACTGTGTGACGTGAGGATTTTTTGAAAACTATCTGGATGACCAACATTGAGAGGCAGTGCCTAGCTTCTTTGCACCCCGTAGTGTCCATATCTGTTCAAACGCTTGGAGGCCTTCATCTGAAGGCTTGCTACCTTCTACTACGTGCTTTCTGCATTAATTTTCTTCATTGGTGGGAATTAAATGCCCAGGTTTTAAATATCTGATGTAGCTGTCTGGTTTTATGTATTTATATGAATCAGAGGAAAATTTCCGCTGGATGCATACATCAACAGTGGTGTTTTTCTGTTTTTCTGCTTACTAAGTGATCTATTCAGTGAGCTTTAAGGGCTAGTATGGATTTTACCTAGAATGAATTTCAATGCACAGTTTTTAATATATCTGAAACTTGACATGAGTGTATATTTGTGTTCCATATATGGGACGTATGTAGAAATTGCCAAGAGTCTGTATAGATTTTGCTCATCAGATAGACTAGATATGTATCTTATCAGTGTTTCTCTTTCAGACTGCAAATGGATACATCTTATTTTTTGAAATCCCATCAGCAAGAGACAAGTATCTTTATGAGCCAATGTATCCCAAGTAAGTATTCTAAACTTTCTTTACATCCCCACAGTGTGAAAAAATACGACTAGACAAGTCCTAAGCAGATGTTATGATATAAAATATTTCCTTCCAAAGTATGTTTTAAAACTTGATGAGTATATGAAGAATCATTCCTATGAGTTAGTCAGTTCAGAGGAGAAGTTGGCCTAATTGGTTTGCTGTGCTCTGTTAAGATTCCTTAGGCCCATCTTGGAAGTTCTCAAAATCCTAAATAGCTGGGTTAGAATTGTCTAATTTTATAATTTGACGTTGATGTTGAATTCATGATCTGTAACAAGCTTTAATAATTCCTTTTGAGTAACTCAGTTGAATAAGTCATGTTTCTTAGGAACTATTAGGGTGCAATATTTTAACAGATTCCCCCAATTTGTAATAACTTGGAGATTTTTGACATAAATGGGGAATAAATTCTCGATATTTTGGAAAGAATCTGAATCATTTTTAGTAAGAATACAAGTATTTTAGCTGCAGCATGTTACGTTGTCATTATAATCTTTTTTTCCTTACTGTGAATGACCGAATACATTTTATGTGTTAAAATGTGACTGTATGTTGGAGTTATTTGTGGTTGACTTAGTTGACCTTGGATTTGGCAAAATTGGGAAATATTTAGAAGAAATTAAAACCTCAAGGGGTGTATATATGTGTGTCTGTGTGTGTTTAGATAGGCAGAATCTGTAGTCATTGACGGGATCAAATTTGCCCACAGGAATAATAAAACTCTTGATTTCTCATGGGCTAGAAACTGTTTTTTTGATGTATCTATATATATACCTTCATCATTATGGTAATGCTAGTCAACTTAATTTTAAATTTTTTTCATATGCATAAAACAAGTTAAAGTTGATCAGTGGGTGTCTCCAAATTGACATCTATGAGGAGTATTGGATAACCTATGATGTCATGTAAGATGAAAACGTTTTGATTTTTTAAACCATAACTGTTAAACCATGAACATTAAAAAAAAAATAATCAAGTCTTCATGAACATTTTAATTTTAAATCTCTATTCTTTTACAAGTGCATATAGGAAGAAATGACTTGACAGGTAGTAAATGATTTCAGAGTGAATTCTTGCTTCACTGAGTGGAAAATTTTGTGCGTGTTATTAGTATAATGCATCTTTTGGCCTCTGAAATAGCCCTCAAAGCTCTGGAATTAAATGGAATTTACTGTTGCAACTTACTTGTCTGTTTTCCAAAAACTTAAGACTAATGCAGACAAGTTATATTACTTTATTTGCCTTTTCTGAGACCTGAATAGCATTTTTCAAACTGACTTTTCACATTTGACGTACTGTCATCAGAGGGAAAAAAAAAAAAAAGCAGACAACCTGTTGCTGCAACCTGTTGAAATAAATAAAGGGATAGTATATCTTCAGCTGTACATAATGCAAAAGAATAAACAGTAGTTTATGGTATGTTCTTCTTATTCTATTTGGCAGGTTTTTTTTATTGGCAAAATCTGAAAATATATGGAAGTATGTATCAAATATGCAGTAAAAGTTAAAAAAAGCTTTGGAAATTTTGTTTAGACATGCCACATGTAGGAAGGTTTGAAAATATTTGTTAAGCAGTCAATGACTAACCAGTCTAACTTTTATATAAAACATTGATAATTGATTTGTGTCGTCAACCTAAAAGCGTGTGTTTTATGAAAAAGTCTTTCTGTTAGCTATGTGTTGAATGGTCAAGATTTTAATATATATTTGTAGAGCCCAAAGGGGTATAATGCTGATTCTGTGGATGAGTAAGACAAAGTGTTTGTCCCTAGAGTGTTAATGATAGGTTGCTCACAATCTCCTAAGACTAATACATGCGCTTAACTTTAAGAAGATGAATGATCTCACTGAATTTACTGGGATTACTAATCTGTCTATATTTAGCCTTCAATTTTGAAAACCCGCATAAAAATACCACTCTTCTGGTTTTGTAGATCAAAAGAAAGACACAACCATTTGTGTGTGAATTATGCCTGCTGTGATTAATGTCAAATTATTCTATGAGTTATAATGATGGGATGAACTTTTTTTTTTTTGGTGCAGATACAGTGCACTGCCTGTGGGCAGTTTCACTAATTTGCTTTGTAGATCAAATACTAAAAAAAACCAACTGACCGGAAAAAAAAAAAACAAACCCAAAATGAACAAACAGACAAACTAAACCAAAAGCCCAGAATAGAAACTTTTCACTTTCTTCTGGCATTTGTTCGTTTTCCAAAGTCATTATTTCACTGAAATGCTTGGATTTCATTTCTACTGGACTGAACAATACCAAATTAATTTTGTTAGTTCTGAAGCCATTAAAGATCAGTGAAAGGCCTCATATGTGACTTGCCTTGTGCTTGAAAGGGGACATGTTACTGTGTTCTCCCACTGTAACAGTGTGTTCTTGGCTCCTTGCTCTGTGTTGGCAGCAGCGATTATGCAGCTGTGCCTTAAGTAAAGTCAGGTTGCTGACCCGATGGGGAAACCAAACCTGCCTGTCTCCCTTCTTTACCCCTCTCCGTCCCCTCTCCTGGATTCCAGTAGCTTGCAAGTTGGCATATAATAAAAGGCTGGCATTAGAAAATGGCGACTTTGAAGCAGCACAGAGCAGCAGTGCTGGGAAGTTCAAAAACATGGAGTGGCTGCTCAGTGATACTGGTATGATAATGCTCATGTGATAGTTCATGGTAAAGCAATTGCTTGCAACATTTTAACTTTCATGCAAATATTAATTATGACTTGTCCAGCTCTGTCTTATGTGGTTATTTACCTATGTTAGGCCAAGTGAGTGGGAGGGTGGTGATTTTTGCAGAGAGTATAAAGATGTAAGGCTGTCTCTGCGTTAGCAGTGTGATAGGACAGCTGCTGGAAATAAGTTAGTAGACACAGTGAAATGGGTGGACAACAGGTTCAAATGTAGGTCTCCACACTTGGCATATTTGAGGTAAAGGCTTTTTGTCTGCCATTCTTCTCTTTGGACACCTCCACAACATACCAGAAAGTTAAGAGATATTGTAGAATATCATAAGTTGTAGGAGTTTTTTTGTATGTTTGTTTTTTTAGCTAGTGAACACACTTCTGTCAGTGCTCCTAAAAGTTCAGTTTTATTGTACTTTTTAAAACTATGAATAATTCTTAATGTTGATGAACGGTCCATATTTACTAACTTTTTGTAAGCAGAACAAAGCCTGTTCTCTAGTATACTTTCTTTAAATGATAATCGCTAGTTCTGACAGAAACATAAAATTTCAATGTAGTGACTACAAAATTAAAGTAAAACTCTCTTAATACAACTTCAGCTTGAACAGAATTCTTAAGCAGTGCAGGTCAACGTAGTGAGGTGGTCGTGCACTGGGAGTACACACCAGTAACGTCCTCAGCTGCGCCAAAATTCTGGTGCAAGATTTTCTAGTTTAGTCAGTATCCTAAAGTTGAACTTGCAGCTAGGTTTGATCCCATACAAATGAAAACGTTGAGAAAGATTGTGTTTAAATTTTCCTGTCAGTTTAGGTCTCATTTAAATGAAATGTGTATATTTTACCGTAAATAAAAAAAAAAAAGTCAGAAAAGCAGGTCATAAGGTATATGATAGACAGATAGTTTCTTGGCTTTAGTTATTTTTGCAGTCTTCCAGATTGGGATCACTGCAGTAAAGTTACAGCTTTATGTGGTATTGGTATTTTTCAAATAACTGCTTTAAAATTTGCTTGATAGTGGTTTAGCCTTGATTTGAAGAAAAGCACCAAAAAAAGTTGCTGAAAATAAAAATCACTCCTCATTTGCCCATATGGGAGAGGGATGTTTGTGGAGAAAAAGTACAATCCTTCCAGTTTATGGTTGTTACTACACAGAGTTGTTTCTATATATGGCTGTTGAGCAAGATGATCCAAAAGAGCTTGCCTATATATGGTCTGTTAACAGAACTATTCTAGCATACAGTTATTGTATAAACTGTAATTACACTTGCAAAAGTTTTTTGCTGGTACAGCTTGAACGAAATGCCTCAAGGTATAAAACAAAATAAAACTGCATGGAAGGTGACAGAAACATTTTTGCTGTTTATAAGTCAATACACATTGCAGGATATCTAATGACAGTATGATTTTTAATTTTTTTTTAGGGCTAAGTCTTCTCACTCTTACAATCTAACCAACACAGGTTTAGTAGAAGAGCTAAAGCGTGAGTTGAGGCTAAGCTTTCATTGTGTTTGAGAATTCATTTGAATGCAAGAATCTGTGCTTCCCCTTATCTTTTAGTAGTGTGAAATAACCAGGTTTTGGAAAGTGAGGCTGACTGAACTCCCCCTGCTATTGTTTGTTTAAAAAGAGACAGAATCAGAGTCTAGGAAAATTGATTTCCTGTTTAAAAATGCCCATTTGGCATGACTTCCTCCTTTTCATATCAACCTATTGTAACGGTCTTTATATTCTGAAATTCAGTGTTTTAATGGAAGTGCTGGAATTCAAGATTATCAGTGTTTGTGGCTGGAGCCCACAAAAGCTTTTAAGTTTCTTTTATCAATATCTGAGGGCATAGCTCTTACAAAATTGAGAATATACGACATACTTTAAGATGGTGGAGTGGGAAATTCTTCTTAAATTCTTCTTCTCTTTTATACCTTTAGAGGTTAAATCAGTTTAAAATATACTTATGTAGATATGATAACGGTTAAGGAACTGACCTCTTCAGCATTATGCAAATTTTGTGTAAAATCCATTATTAGATTAATGTGATAAAACAAGTGCTCATATCATAAGCACAGCATTGTGTCATGAATTCTGAGTATTTGTATATTAAAAAGGAAGCTTTTTAAATGTTTGCTGGTGTCAACCAATAGTTTTTTGTCAAATTGTCGTATTTTAGGAATGTTATGAATTGCAGTTGTTCTATTGAAGAAAATATTTCTGGCTCTATTGATATTTGGCTAGGAATTGCTAGCCTGTTCTCAGAGTGAACAGACATTCATACTCAATGAAAACCTAAAGTATCCT